GAGAGAGAGAGAGGTTTCGTATCGAACACTTGCGAGTCATCTTGTTCTATTTCTTCTTATATGATTAGAGAGACCATATGGTTCCATGTGTGTCTGTGTGTATGCGTGAGAGAGATAGGTTTTGTATTGAACATTTAGAGGCCATCATCTTTTTCTGCTTCGCTTTATTTGTATCAAACACTTGAGTTAATCATTCTAAAGGGGCTTTACTCTTTTATTTATTTATTTATTTTTATAATGGGGTGGCACTACGCACCCACCTTGGCTTGGTGGGCGCCTTGAATCACGTCCGCCTAAGGCATCCACCTAGGCCTATATTAGGGTGACTGAATTTTTTAACATTGCTCATGCAATATGTGCCAATATTTCTCATGTCCCTCACTCTTGAAACAAATGCATTCATTATATGTTTGAAAATGATTGGTGTGGCCAGTCCCAGTTTGGCTGTTGCTTTCTGATTTTAAAAGGATTTGTGGATAAGGCAGTTGCTAGCTGAGGCTGGCATTCATGAATGAAGGATATGGATCCCATACATTATTAGGGCACTTTTAGATGTTCTTTTAGTAAAATCTCTACTTACGACTCCTTTGTTGTGGTTTGCCAGGTTACATCTACGCATTACACAATTACAGCAGAAAAGAATCACTGCAAGTTCAATGGTTTGGAGAGTATCAAGGTAACTATTTTGTTGTTTCTTAGAACTGCTATAAATTATTTGATTTATCCTGCACAAGAAAATTTGCTAGAAATATTGTTCTCTTTGGTGTTTCTTAATATTCATTGTCTTTTTCTTCATTAAAAAAATCGTTTTGTGCTACTTCTTAGGTTTTGCCAAATATGGCATCACTTCCAGATATCAAAGCAACCCACTATGATCTATGCGGCATGGTTAGATTGGTTAATGCAGATTACAAAGCAAAGGTGAGAAGTTATATATTATTCTATCATCTCTCTTTCTATTTTACATGTGTGTGTGTGTGTGTTTTGTGCGCAAGGGTGCCCTACTGATGCTTTGTCTAGCTCAGTAAATTATGGGTTGGCTGTCTTGCTTCCATTCAGTTACTCCACCCAGCCTGATCTATTTTGATAACTGCCAGGTGGCATTGACACATGGGCCAGCAAATGTCAAGCCTCAAGTCAAACAAATGGATGAGAATGGAAATTTTTGCTTTGAGGTTTGCTAATTTGTGTTGATCTTGATATAATTGTCTAATTTTCTACTTAGTAGTGCAATGCTTGTTTCCCAAGATTATGGTTTGTCTGGTCTCTGGGCAATGGCGTCAAAAACATGTAACTTCTACAAACTTGGGATAATGAAGCTAGAGATAATTTTTTGCTTTCAATACTATTTTTCAAAGGGCAGTGGGTAGTCTAAAAAGGATATGGTTGAAAGTAATGAGAAAAGATATGGGGCCTTATGGCCTCATTGAGGGTATGCCCTTGATAGAATAGAACGACGGATAAGGATTTGTGTAGCCGACCCAAAATGGTTGGAAAAAGGCTCTGATAATGATGATGATGATGATGAATGCTATTTTATAAAAGAAGTTGGTTCCTGATTTTCAATTTTGTGTACGCCACAAGTATCTTGGTCATAAGATGATAAACAGTTGCATTAAGCATATGATCAGGATTCTCTTATATGGCCCTTATTATGCAAAATGTGAAACCACATATGCTAAAGAATTGACAAAATGTGAAACTGGGCCCAAGTTTTCCCCTTATATCTTGACCTTAGAAGCATAGGCAAGTAAATGGGCCTCAAGTTTTTCAGGGCAGGAGATCGAACCCTAAGTCATGCGGTTCACTAAGTCATGTGGTTTAGAATGGGAATGGGCATATGCTTGACTTTTGACAACCAGTTAAATCACAAATGCATTTTATATATTGGTTGATTTATATGGACACTGATCTTTCTTTAGGTATTTTGTGTGAGTGAAAAATTGCAAACAATAAATTTCTGTTTTATTATTTTTGTATTTACGGGTTTATATTTTTAGGGCTTTTAGAAATTGTAAAAAGCTCTTAATATTCCAAAATAAAAACTGCAAAAAAATAATTGCATGAAATAAATTTCTGCCTTTTTTTCTTTTTCATTTTCTTTATTTTAAGGTTTTTTCAAATTGCTAAACCCCTTAAAATATAAAAGCCATAATTGAAAAAATTGTACAAAAAATTTTCTATTTTCTTTTTGTGCATTTTCAGTTTTACAATTAAGGGCTTTTACATATTGTAAAATCCCTTCAATAGACAATAAATCAAAACGAGTGTGCTAAACAGTTTTATGTGAAATCACTAAATCCAAAAACCAATTTTTTTCCTTATCTGTTGATTGTCTTTAACTCAAAGTAGAAAAACCTTAAATATATCACAAACACTTATTTCGGGGTTGAAGATTTCCTCCTTTTGACAGGATTTTGATAAAAAAAGTGGCTGGATTTTGCCCTTAGCTCCATGGTTCTTTAGGTTGAGAGAGAGAGAGAGAGAGAACATCGTCGAATCCTTTGTCTCTCTAAAAGTCTTTTTCTTTTAATACCCCACTGAGTCCCTAATCCCTTTTATCAAAACGCCCCACATAGAAAACCAAAAAGGTCAAAGGAAAATCTCCCTTAGAACTCCTTTTTACTGAAACTATAGAAAAGTAAAAAATGGACCTTTTAGACAACAAAAAAGAAAATGGACCTTTTAGTGACCAGCCGGACCGGTGGACTGGCTGGTCCGCTGGTCCATGACTGGTTTGTTGGACCAACTAGTCCGGGTACCTGATTGGACCTGACTTGGCACCGTTTTGTGGTTCAAACCAGCTAGACAGGTCCAGTTTGTACATCATTGTAAAAGGGTTCAAATGATCCATATGGTACATTTTGGCCCTTACTAACCCTGTACACTCTTTAACATTCAAAGGGGGGAAAAATACTGTATACTCTTTAATTTGTGACGTACGGATGTACTATAAAAATATGCTGCCTTCTTTTGTTTTTTAACCTTTTCTGATGTCCCTTGGTAATGTTTTTGGTCACCCAATTTGTGCTGGACTGTTTAATGCTTTTACTCAGATTTATTACTACGTTCTACTGTAGGTTCTGCCTGGTGAATATCGGCTATCTGCGCTGGCGATTGCATCAGAAAGTAGTTCTGGAATTCATTTTGTGCCTCCTCACATTGATGTTGTGGTTGATATGCCTTTGCTTGACGTTGAATTTTCCCAGGTAAGTACCATATCACTACTAAAATGCTTGCCCCTGGATTTATTTTTTTATGGTGCTCGTCTTCTGTGTTTGAGTTGTGCTTGCTTTCTCTCACATAGCTTGTGGTTCCTTCAACTGCTATAAAATGTATTTTGCATAACCGGTTTGATTATTTTGCTGCCTTTTTTACTGAATTTGAACGTCATCTTTGCAGTTATAGTGGCTCCCTTATATTTTGTTTTTACTACTCAAGGCACAGGTCAACATTCATGGCACTGTGGTTTGCAAAGAGAAATGCAGGCCAAGAGTTTTTATTTCACTTGTAAGCGTGGGAGGTAGAAATTCAGGCGAAAGAAAGACAATATTCTTGGGTGATGAGAGTAGCAATTTCATGTTCCCCAAAGTTTTGCCTGGCAAGTATCATCTTGAGGTACTATTATATCTGTGCTTGTCGTTTCCATTTGATTTTTCCTGCTCTTTATTTCAGAATCTGTTTCTCTTCCCTTTTGAGTCCATTGAGGAATATTGTAGGATGCATGAGTTATCTATATGCATTGATTGTCTATCTGCCATCCACGAGCAATGCGGATACTGCCTTGTTCCTCTAGGGCATTAATAATCGTAATTGCTACATAGCGTAGAGATACAAATTTGCAGAGTTTCCTTTATGTATATTTTGGAGTTTCCCCTGGTTTTTCTTTTGCTAATATCTGTGTTATACATCAAGGTAAAACATGAATCTTCATCTGATATGCAAAAGGAGGATGATTGGTGCTGGGATCAGCAAACTATTGATGTGGAAGTGGGAACTGAAGATCAGAAAGGCATTGTGTTTGTCCAGAAAGGTTACCTGATAAATATAATGTCCACCCATGAAGTTGATTCCTACATACTCCAGCCTGAAACTTCCCCACTAAATTTACACATCCAGGTATTTTAATTTCTGAAAGAAATGCTTAACATTTAGCTCGTTTGCTCTTAAGAAAATTATTTAAGTGGCGTATAATGTTCTTTGCATCATATTCACATTTAAATCATGTTAACTTTTTTATTATACCTGGTATTGCAGAAAGGTTCACAGCAGATTTGTGTAGAATCTCCCGGGCTGCATGAGCTTCATTTTGTTAACTCGTGCATTCATTTTGGGATCTCATCATTGAAGTTTGACACATTGAAACCGTTGGTAAAGTTAAATTTTCCCTTCTATTTTTCGTTTACCTATTTCTTGATTGCCAGCCTACTGCGTTTTTCTTACCAAGGCATGTGCCTTCTAATTTGATTTTAACAATTTAGTTTCATGTTTTCTTGCAGCCTATATATCTAACAGCGCAGAAGTACCTTGTAAGAGGAGAGATCCAAGTTGATCCAACTTTGTGCCCTGGGGCTTTTGAGTTAAGTGAAAGATTCATTGTGGACATATTGAGAAGGGATGATGCAGTTGTTGATGTTAGTCATGTTAGGCATGTATCTAATGAAGATGAATCTGGGAGTTATGCACTGTATGAATACTCAGTGTGGGCTAATCTTGGGGACGAGCTTATCTTTTCTCCACGGGATGCAAGGTATAATGGATTGGCTGAAAATATTCTTATGTTTACTTTTCTGGTTGTAGGAGTGAGTTTCTTATTAGAAAAAAAGAATGCTCAAAATAAAATTAAACAGAAAAATTTGGAAAAATTTAAAAATGACTTAAGTATAGGTAAAACAGGAAAAACAATTTGCCAATGTTGTTTAGGAATGCTATAATTGATAGAAGCTTTTTTGTTTTTGGACAGTATGAATGATTGAAGTATCGATCAGATTGTAATCCAAAATTCTTTTGTACACAGTACATCTATACTTTCCGCATATTCTTTATGATAGTAGTTGTAAAAAGAAGTACTAATTGATGATTATGTAATAATTTATGATTATTTCATTTTGTTACATCATGTTGTTGGCTGTGTGTTATCTATTGCGGTCTGGTCCTTCATTTTAGTGCAATAATGCGTATAAGAATGATCTTGATTGTTGTCAGTATGACATTTTACTGATCTGAAATGACATTCATTCATATTAAAGACATACACCTAACCTAGACATTTGTACAAATGTCCCACTCCTGATGGTTTCTTTGTCGCATCCATGTTATGCATGTCATACCTTTGTCGTGACTATTTTGTGCCAGTGTTGTATCCCAAAGTATGTCAAATGAAATGTACTCAAAACCCATTTTACCCTAGATTACCAAATTGACTACATATTGTGGCTTTTTTGCCTTGATAACTATTATTTTCCTCTTCCTCATGCTGAATGTTTTCATTTTTTTCTGAGCTAGTAAGTATTCGTTATCATTGGAAAACAGAATTTAATTTTATATCGATTTTCTCTGTGGTGTCTTTCTTCACTGATTTTCAGTCATTTGTTGCAGCAACAACATCGAAAAGAAATTCTTGTTTTATCCGAGAAAAAGCCATGTGAGTATCTCTAAACAACAGAGGAGCTTTTCTTGCATGTTGATTGTTTTGCTTTTAAGATTGAAAGAAAAAAAATCGTTGGCTTGTTTCATCATCTGTATTTGTGAGGAGATTTTTATTATTTGTTTTGTTGTTTATAACTAGGTTACTGTTGCAACTGATGGTTGTCAAACGGCTATTGCTCCTTTTGTGGGTCGGTTGGGTTTATACATTGAAGGATCAGTTTCTCCCCCTATTCTTGGGGTTAATATCAGAATAATAGCATCAGGTGATAGCAGCAATACTCCTCTTCAGAAGGGGGAGTTAGCTCTTGAAACTTCAACAGGATCAGATGGTTTGTTCTCTGCAGGGCCTTTATATGATGATACAAGTTATGTCATTGAGGCTTCAAGGGTTAGTAACTTGTAGAAATATGCAAATTTAATAAAATTCAGTGTGATTACAATGATAATTTGTAATATAATGTAGGCATATAATTATAGTTCTGCATGTTTTAGAAATTTTGTAGTCTCAACTCTTGAGCATATGCACCAAGATCTGTTTTGCATTCTATTTGATAATGTAAAATCATATAGTGGATATCATTCTGTTGGGACTAATGTTTTTTGTTATGTTTTGGGCATTTTCTTTCTAATGCTCTTAAAACTTGATCAAGTTTCTTTGAGTTCATCTGCTTATGACTGGCTGATTTGGTTAGAACTTATAAGAGCTGCCTAATGATCTTCGTGTTTCACGATTCATTCTCTTGATCGTAATCTATTGTACACGAAAAAGTGTCCTGCTCTGAGTTGGCTTGAGTTTCTATTAAGCGGGTTCCATTTCAGAGTTAAACTACCATGAGTTTCGTGTTGGAGTTCACACACTTCAACATGTAACTCAGCTGTCATTATAACAGAAAATGCAAAATCCTTGTGGCCTCCTTGGTGGTTGAGAGGGACAATCTTTTGGAATAGCTATTGCAAGCTCGCTTACCATTTGATCAAATCAATATTATTGCGATATTCCATGTAAGGTGCACTCCTACTCTTGTAACATGCGGTTCCTCAATTAGAGAGTGAGAGGACATACCTATTCTCTTGGGAATGCGGTCCTTGTCTTCTTCGTATGCAACTAATTCCACTGATGTTGCTAAGGAATCCCCTCTCTCCTTTGTTGGGCTTCATTCTGAGAGCTACAATTGTATCACAAAAATTTGGCCACCTAAAGACTGGGTAAAGTTTTCATTGTTGATGAAGTTCAAAGAAGAACTCAAGCTTCCAATACTTGTGATTCCTTTTTTTATCTTATGTTTTAAATATTTACTTTCTTATATTTATTGTGTGGATCCTTCCACCTTGCCATGGAGGAAATAATGAAACTAGAGTGTCCTTCACTAAAAATTGTCTGACTAGCTGATGTGGTAGGTCAGAGTCGGTAAGGGAGAAAGCATACTCTAGAACAGCCTTAGAACTTAGATGCTTGTCAAATTGCAGACGCATAAAGAAGGGTAAAAGGGTAGACCAATTCAGTGTTTTAAAAAGCAGGATGCAGCTGAAAGCGGTGGGGGGGCCAATGCGGTGATGTGGCTTAATGCGGTCCGGATGCGGGTGCATTGCGGCGATGCAGTCAATAAATATAAAAAATTCTAAAAATTCTAAGAAAATAGGTTAATGTATAGAAAAAAATATGGAGGTGACATATGTGATACTAGGTATTTTAGTTTATTTATGAACTCCAAAAGTATTAGCTGTCAGAGATTCTGTATCTACTATGCCCTGATAGAAATTAGAAACTTGAAACTAGCTTCATAAAACATTTAACAATCAACAACCATAAGCACAGATATGCAAGCACAAACTTTAAAGTTACAAAATAGTGATACTACAAACTAAAAGTCCATGTCTCCATGAAGATTAAAGAGTTTTGAAGTCAAGCTCAAGAAGAGTTAATACAATCATCCATTCATCATCATTTCTCAAGTCTAGAGAGAGATTCTAAATTTCAATTTTTCAAATACTAATCAGAGAAGTCATCTTGAGAGTCTTCATCTGCATCATCATCAATATCATCCTCGGCGACCTCCATGTATTCTTCTTCCTCAGACTCCTCTGAGTCAGTCGCTTCCTCCTCGACCTCTGGAGCTGATGTGTGTGTGCGACTAGACCCAGCTCTACTCCTTGTGCTCTAGTGTTAGGTCATTCTTCTTCATTAGCCCCTGTTGCTAGCTCGACATCAAGCCATGTAAGATCCTCACCCTCAAACACACGCTCTAGTGTCAGATCCGTGGTCCACTCACTTGTGGAATATCTGTCGTCCACTCACTTGTGGAATCGCCATCATCTTTATACAATTGAATAGGGTTGAGCTGCATGCGCTTTTGATACCTGTCCTTAAGCCGCTCATTATACCGCACATAAACCAAATCGTTCAACTTCTTTTGCCCCAACCTATTTCTCTTTTTAGTAAGGAGCTGTGATAGAAAATTGAAATTAGATAAATTAGATTTTAGAAAATTGAAATCCAAGAAATAAGGATTAAGGAATAAGAATTTACATGCTCAAATGCACTACAATTGCGTTCACAATCAGATGTCACAATCAGATGAGCTACATGTGAGATTCAACAATCAAATAGCGAGATGTAGATTTGGTGTCTTGTTTCCATATAATGCCCACCATGCAGCTGTATAATATTTTAGATTATAGATAAAAATTAAGGGTAAACAATGGATCTATACATCAAGTCATAGACAAGTAAGGATACTTTTGGCCTTTACCTGGATTTGTAGTGTTCCTATTTCAAGTAGCAGTCGCTCTCCCAAAGTTTCCCAAGCCTAACTTGAACTTAATCAATTCATGGCTCTAGATCTCATCTTGGATATCTTTGTCAGGCACCAACCTCTCTCAAGCACATCTAAGAACCCACCATTTATTGCACAATTTGATTCAATGGATGGGTGCTTGTAGTGAAGAGATGGATTTAAAAATTAATTGGCTGAATGGAAGTTCTTGTGAAGCTGGGTATCCCATCTCCTATCAATAATTTCAAGTATAGCCTTGCATTTATTTTCATCATCCTTTAAAACATTTGTATCTTTGGCCTTGCCCTAGTCATTGTCTCATGTATGTAGCCCATGGCGGGCTTCACATCATCATCAACCAGTCGAAGCACTCTCACTAAAGGGCGAGCCACCTCTAATTCAAGAATTATTTGACTCCAAAAAGATGTATTCGGAATAATTTGTTTAATCTTTCTCCCATCCCGATGCTTTAACCATTTACTTTGACTTCATTGCTCTGAAGCAAACATGATCCTCAAGGAACTTTTTTGCTTGGTCTTCGAAGAGTGTGAAATGACGTGGCAAATCTAGTGATACCCGGTCTCACAAATTGTCTCTTCTTTGTAAAAGTCCTCATCATGCTTAGGACCATGGTGTGATTGTAAACAAATCCAACAACAAACATGGCTCTTGAAATCACCCCATTAAATAAAGATGTTGGACCCATTTCCTTAAGCACAAGATTAACACAATGAGTTGCGCAAGGAGTCCAAAACATATGCGTCCTCTTCAAAGTCAAAAAATACCCAGCTGTAGTATAATTGGCACCATTGTCAGTGACAATTTGTACCACATTTTTCTCTCCAACAAACTCTACAATCTCATCCATCAAGCCACATAAGTATGTAGCATCATGTGACTTGTCTGATGCATCAACAGACTTAACAAAAAAAGTACCTGTTGGACAGTTAACCAAAAAATTAATGAATGCATTCAACTTTCCATCGGACCAACCATCACACATAATAGTGGCCCCATATCTTTCCCACCCTTCTCTTTGAGAAATCAAAATTTTGTTAACATCGAATACAACATCCTTCAATAAGGGCTCCCTAACCTCATGTAGTGAAGGAGGAACAAGTATTGGGCCATATTGCCCAATTGCCTGGACCATACATGCAAAACTATCGAGGGTTATAGTATTAAATGGAATGTCGGCCATGTAAAGCCACTTTGCAATATACTTACATACCGACTTCCTCTATTACTTCTTGTATCGATTTTCAATTGTGGTTTGTTTTGTTTTTTTCTTGCTCTCCTGAACCACAATTTCGGGGCTAGGGGTGAAAAAAACATCTATTGGCCCCTTAGAGAGAGGTGTTCTTTTTTCAACACTACCACCAATATTTACAACCCTCTCTCTTGAAATTGGCATACCCTTTGCCTCATTGCAACTTCTGATATATCTTCATCATCATCAATATCATCATCAAGTAATTATTTTCTTTTTTTTGTTTTCTTCTCTTTTAAAATTTTTCAAGCTATTCATGTATTCTCTAATCTCCCTTTTTATCTCGTCGGTAGCTTGTGGACATGCTCTTACATTCCCATAAGTACCAGCTAAGTGTTCTTTTTGCCGAAAAATACCACCCATGTAAGTATTTCCATAGAGCATATTTATCGCCCAACTGCATTTGCGGTCATTTTTTATGTGGTGCCCAGCGCATAGCCCATGATGTGGCTGCATTTTACAACACTGGACCAATCAAGAGATTGCCCAAATTAATGTCTTTTCTAGATTATAATCAAGACTTCAACAAATGAAAAAGGGAAGTTGGGAATTTGTCTGGGGGGGAAAGGGTGAGGGGCTCTTACCTGGATTTCTTGTATTTGGGACGTAATTGCTCCAATTAGAACGATCTATACTTGGAATCAGATGAGAAACAACTTTGTGATGTGATGCTATTGCAAGAGATCAAGTTAGATAGAACATAGGATTTTTCAAGAAACAATATTTGAAAAACATGCAATACCACTAAATCCTGCTGAAAGGGATCCAATTGGTATTTGGCGGTTATGGAATCCACGAAGTATTGAAAGTAGAAAGTTGCTAGGTGGATCCCTGTTTAAATTTATGTTCATTTGATTAGGATGGAGTTTAATTATGGCAGTTTATAGGGTAGTGATCTAAATTGCCTAGCCTTTGCAGTTTCTGATCATTCTTGATTGTTTTTGTCATTGTGAGATTCTCATATAATATCAAAGGTGAAACCCTTTGAATCAAATATTTTTGGTTCTAAGGTGAGTTAATCCGACAAGTTTTCAATTTAATGTGCAAAATTGATACAAATTTTTTTGGCAGCCTTTGTAGTTGACTTTGTGCTTACTTTAGAAGGATTTCAGTCACACAATATCAAGTTTTCGACTTTTGGCCTAGAACTCGGTTTTTAGTTCTATTTTCCAAGTTCTGGGTATTTCACTATATGCTGTAGTTGTTACTTTCTGATTTCTTTTGGTCGTATCATACTATGTGTTTTTACTTAAGTGCTTGGTATGCTATGTTTTCATACCTTTGTTTTTTAGTAAATTTTATGACAGGACTGGATCATTTAATATGCTGTTCATCAAAAAGTAAAAAGATTTTACTTGCTATTTATTTTAGAGATAAAAAATGCTTTTATTATTCTTTCAGCAATTGAGACAATGTTTATATTAGAGATAGTTACTGAATTGAAACGCCCACTATCATATAATTACGTATTTGTTTTATTCGTTATATTATAATAATTTAAGAGTGTGTGTGTATGTAGGGTGTGGTTCGCATATGGTTGTAACCTTAAACAATCAAAGTAAGGTGCACCTCTAAACTTTGTCAAGATGCAATTTTGTGTTGGAAATTCTCAGGATGGTGCGAGAATCTATTTTCATATCTAATTATAAAATTTTAAACCCCCAAAATAGTTCAAATCAACCAAATCTATAAATGCATGAAAATCTTGAAAATAGACGATCTAGATAATGTGTTGCAATATGTACTATTTTTTAGACTTCAAATCTTTCTTTTCTCCATATCCATACATCTCAATATCGAGATGATCGATTGGATGTTTTTCTGACCTCAAAACAACCTTTTTCGAGGGATTTTAGAGATGCACCTTAATTTTACATTTTAAGATATTAACCTTATATAAACTTTTTGCACATATGTATATGTGGCCTGCATATGAATTGATGCACCTGCATCATTTTTCAAGAATTTTCCACAAGTAGAAATATACCTCCTCATGCTATTCGTCGTTTTCTTGTCTCTTCACTTCCCTGAATTGATATCATGTTGTTATTTTTTTTCTCCCATTTTCATGATGGTTACATGGAGCTCAAATAGGGGCCCTGTAAAGGTGACCAACATGCTTGTGGGGACCCCATAAAGGTAATGAATGTGCTTGCTGAATGTAGTCTTTCTGATGGTCTCGTTGAACTGCTTTTCTTCTGTAAGTTGCATTTTTTTTCCAAAACCAATACACACAGAAGGCATAATGATGATGGATTGCGAGAGTGGTCCACTTGGGAGACATCTGCTTGTCATGCATCATAATATGTTTGCCTGTACTAGTTCTAGACTTGGCTGAGTTCATGCTGCATGCCTTTAGAACATTTAGTCTTAACTCTTTTACACCCTATATTTTAGTCTTTCTTAATGTGTTTTTCAGTCGCATTAATCTCATAAAAAAAGGGTATCTTGAATTCCTTTTTATTGTCATGTGAGTGTTAGTTTTATAATGCCTGGCTTGTCATACTCTTTACTAGACTTGTTGTATTTCGTTGTTTTGTGGGTTGGGGAATAAATTCTAATGATTTTTTTCTTATTGAATAAATCCATATTGAATGACTGGTTCTCTTACTGCAGGTGCCTTTTATAATCGATTTGGATTGGTTAGATTTTTTATTAGTTATATAATAGGCAATGTGTCTGTCGTTCTGAATCTAGTTTGACTAGGTTCATTCTTTGATAACGTCTTTTGATATTGATGATTTCTTATGCAGTCTGGTTATCATCTTAAACAAGTTGGACCACACTCATTTTCATGTCAGAAGCTCAGTCAAATTGTTGTCCATATAAATTCTGGGGAAGAAAATACAGAGCTATTCCCACCTGTTCTGTTGTCGTTGAGCGGGGAAGATGGTTACAGGAACAATTCAATTTCTGGTGCTGGCGGCCTGTTCATCTTTGAGAACCTGTTTCCTGGAAGTTTTTACTTGCGACCATTATTAAAGGTGATCGTCTCATTCTTTTTTTATTTCAATAGGAATGGGGATTTTCCCTGGAATGAGTAAGTAAGAATGTATATTGCATGGATCATCATGGAGGTCACTTTTGCAGGCCTTTGAGGAATCCATATACTAAGTTGGTCATTGTTCAAACTAGTTAGGCTTTCTATATCAAAATTGCTAGGTATGTTATGGCAACTTTAGATTTGATTATGCGAAGATAATTATGAGCTTAGTTTGGATTTCTTGAAAACACAACTGCTAAAGATTGTAATGAGCACTGGATTGCATGCTTTTAAAAAGTTTGCAATGAAGAGAGATATACTTCCATTGATCATGTACAATATGCATTGCCTGCAGTTATGTTTTGAATCATATTTGCAAGAACCTTGGGGTAAGGCCTCGATCCCTTGGTTCCTCTTAAGGGATCTTAGAGGGAACTAGGTTTATAGAAATAGGGATCTCGCACCCTATAAAGTAGGATCTCGGTCTACATGGTTGTAGGATCCCTCCAAGGTAGAGGAGCTATACTATTAATCGAACTACTGCTCGTCTCCATAGTATTATAGGTTTATTTTGTAGAATATGTTAAATTGTGGTGCATACCACATCGTGGTAACTATGGTACTAAAAAAAAGTACAATTTGATATCATAGTTTGCCTATTTATGATATTATTAAACTGTATTTTTGTAGTAAATTGGAGTACTATAACTATGCTGTTGGTGATAAGCTAAGGTGTATGATAATGGATCGAGCAAGCATTGGCTCGATTGTCATATGCTATTAATTGGTTTCTTTTTATGATAGTTGAGCTTAGATCCCCCCAAGTCAAAACCTCGATCCCGGTGAGATGGGATCTCATTCCCAAGCATCCTAGGCTCTAGCTCCTTAAATTATTGAATGTATGGGTGTCGATCCTAACACAAGGGGGCTTCCACCCTATGGCAGTTCGGCTTTCCGCGTGATCCCGCTTCTGCCTCTAATAACTATGTTCTGAATATATCATGCATGCATAATAATACAATGTAGCTTAGTATCGTTTCATAAATAAATGTGCTGAAGAAATTTGGTAAATATTGTATGGAGGAAGGCTTTCTTGTATGGTTTGGTGAGTTTGTGTCCTTTGTAGTAAATCTTTCTTGTACATGGAGAGGAAGTGTTGATGATTTCACACTTTTCTTGATGATTGTTTTCTGAGGTGGTTGTTTAATAGGATTCTGTTACGATTTTTACATGACCTTCACCATTATGGAATGTTTTCTCAGGGACTAATGAGTGATCTGTAGCTAGTGAAAAACTATTCAGACATTATGGAATGCAAATAGTTAGTCCAAGGTGCAACTGCATTTGTTGATCAAATACAACCGGTCCTCTAAAGTGCCACTCTTACTGATTTTTTTATGTTTTTTTTAAAGGTCACTTGCCGATAAATCCTGTCTAGATTTCTATGAAGCGAGTATCTAGTTTCTCACATTGTTGACCTGATGATTCTTAATTTTTTGTCTTTTTATTTTCATATCTGACTATGAATGGCCATTCTCTATGCGATAGGAGTATTCCTTTTCACCTGCAGCACAAGCCATAGAACTTGGATCTGGTGAGTCTAGGGAGGTGTTCTTTCATGCTAACCGTGTTGCATACAGGTATGCATCTAATCTTCCACTCTAAGGCATCATCATATTTATGTTGCGTATCACATTCATAAAAGGGCACTGATGTTTATTAAGTAACTTTTCTGGAAAGTTGAATTAGTATTTCATATCCTGATATAAGAGAGAATACGAGGAACATGGGTCTGCATTCCATGGTCCCTGGAATGCTGTAGTAAAGAAGAAAATCCTCTGTCACTGTTGCTAAAGTGGTCCCATTGACCCGGACACAAAAACTTTTGCTGTTTCCTACAAGATGACTCCTCACTACAAGTTGTTTTCTTATTGATTTCTTTATTTCTAGGATTTCATGATGTAAGTTTCGTAGCTGTCTTTTGAAACATTGAGGTCTATGTTTTAATGTAAGGATTAAGCAACATATGGCACAAATTTGGGGAACATTTGGGATAGAAAAGAAGCTAAACTGCGTGAAATCTATAGAAGAATTGAGAGATCTTACACCAGTAGAAGAGCTAGGAGGTTTGAGGCTAAGGTGGAATTATGGAAATCGCTAAAACTTGAGACCTATTGGCACCGTGGATCTAGGATCAGCAGGTTCAAAGAAGGAGATAGGAAAATTGCTCTTTTCCATAAAATGGCAGGCCATGGTTGTTGGGTTCTGGGGACCGGGAGCGGAATCGGGATTGGGAGCGTGGGATCGTGAAATACTAGAAGATCCCTATGGTTGGGAATGTTGTCCATACAATGCATAGGTTAGGGGTGAAGATCCCCAAATGTTAGGGATTGAGATCCCACCTTTTTGGGGATCTTGATCCTTCACCTTTTGGGATCTTGATCCAACCTTTCGGGATCTGGTATATATATATATATATAGGGTGCGGTTTCTATAAGGTTGCAACCTTAAACAATCCAATTAAAGCGCACCTTAAAATTTTGTCATAACATGTAATTTTGTTGTAAAAAATTCTTAGTATTATCTTAAAATCTGTTTTCATACCTAATTAGAAAATTTTAAATTCCAAAAATGATTAAAATCAAGTAGATTTATAAATATATGAAAATCTTGAAAATGGACGGTCTAGATAATGTATTGCAAGATGCACTATTTCTGAGATTCAAAAACTTTTTTTTTTTTCATATTCATAGATCTCGATATCAAGATGTGATTAGAGGGCTTTTTCAACATTAAAACAACATTTTCGATGAATTTTTGAGGTGCATCTGTGATTCTACATTTTAAGGTCACAACCTTATATAAACTTTTCCCATATATATATATATATATATATATATATATATATATATATATACTACTACTTACGTTAAGTTAGTACTTACTTACTTAATTTAC